AAGGTCGAGACACACCGAACGCGATTCGACAACGCGACGCGATTTTTCGATTTTTACTGACCGATAACTTTGATCTTAGTTTGAACTTTCCAAATATTTATAGAAGCGCTATAACATTTTGAGTTATTTGATGTACATATCTTTCAAAATTTGCTCTCATTGGCTGCTTTATTAACTGTCAAAAACTAAAAAATCGCGTCGCGTTTTCGAGTCGCGTCCGCCGTCCGGTGTGTCTGGACCGTGAATATTTCTGCATGATCACAGTAGAAATTTAGCATAGGTATATATTTTATGTTTTGAATATTTTGTAAGAAATGTTTGAGCAAACTGACTTAATGTTAAACACGGAGTCAGTTGCCTCAAAAAATATTTCTTACAAGAGCCAAGGGTGGGGAGATTATTAAAAGAATGGTCATCAACTTTAGGGTTAGAGTTTAGAAGTTGGGGTTACGGTTAGGATAATGGTTAGGATTAGGGTTAGGATTAACGTGTGGATATGGGTAATTGTAATTGTAATTGTAGACCCGTTACAACGGAATACTTTATTGCATGCAATGACTTATTATTGCGCCAATAGATTATTGGTTACAACGTGCGGAACGGCTGAACGTACGCGATGCAACATAAAAGCATGCTCATTACCATATCGCTGAAGCATGGCGAAATATGCTTGCCTTTTCGGTTCGGCATATACATGAGTCGTGCTTACACTACCAGTACCAGCCTTGGTCTACATTTTGACAGTGTAAATGTAGGTTAAAAGCCAAGGGAGAGGTTTTTATTAAACTGTGAAGACCGAGGGCCGAAGGCCCGAAGTCTTTACAGTTTAATAAAAACCGATACCCGCGCGACTTTTAACTTGTTTATATACTCATTAGACCATATTCTTTTGAATTTTGGAGGTTTTCTTTATTAAAAATTCAAGCTATATTAATTCAATGTGAGGTCGCTGCAGTTGTGGGACGAAGTAACTAGGTGTAACATGCGCATTAACACGCTTTAAAATGTGGTTAAGCATGCGCAGTATATCATTTCACGACCCACAAGCAAAAGAGCAGATATTACTGTATAAATTCCCTGCACAAGCATGTTTGATGGTTGATCCAGCTAGTTCTCGTGCGCCGAATGATAGATACTCTTACCTAATGGTAGAGTTTTGACGGGCTCAGATGTACACGGCTGTTGTGTTGTCTCTTTCTCGACTTAGAAGACGGTGCAACGTTTTCTAGTCGAAAAGGAGATGTGGGTCTTGAGTTTTCCTGCAAATTCAAGTCCCGAATTCAAGACTCATGCCAGGTGTTGAATTGAAAATGTAAAACGAGGTAACTGGTTATTATTTTTTCGTAATAACCGGGGAGCAGGTTATTACGGAAAAATAATAACCTGGTAGCAGACTAGCAGGTTATTATTTTTCCGTAATAACACTACCAGGTTATTATTTTTCCGTAATAACTTGCTACCCGGTTATTATTTTTCCGTAATAACCTGCTACCCGGTTATTATTTTTCCATAATAACCTTCAACCCCGTATTTCCCCGGGAGAAATCAAATACCACCGCCTGCTTTTAGACTGAAGGTTATTACGGGGGAGTTAAAAACCGACGAAATACAAAATAATATGTATGGTCTGATGAGTTTGTAAACAGACTTTGACCTAGCCTCGGCCTAGACCTGGTCTATGCTTGTGGAAATGTAAACACTTTCGGCCCTGGCCTGAGACTTATTTTCATGGCAACGTGTGTACACAGTGAGAGATTAGTGGACAACCAGCGGACAATGTCACAACACATAAAAATACACAAAATTAATAACAGAATTCTAGGCCAAAGTGAGCCAGTCTCAAAAAAATAGTGTAATGGTGTAAACGCGTACATCACTAGCCTGCGTGCAGTAGTCTGGGGCTGCACGCAGGCTAGCACATCACATGCAGGTAGAATAAAAACTACAGCATTATAGTATGTAAATTATTGCTTAATTAAAAATATGTACCTATAATTAGTTAATTTTGTTTCTGTGGTAAAACCTAAGCTACGTTTTCGACGAGGCTTCGATCTGCAAAGTTTTTCCACTAGACTAATGCCAGAAATAGACTTGTAGAGTAAACAATGCAGTCTTAAAAATATTTCACCCTTGTTTCCCAGTCAAAATGTTGTCTGATGATTCGATGTAGTTCAACAGGAAGTGTTGGAAATTTTCTTTCAAAATATTCTTGTGGTGCAACTACGGTGTTCTGGACATTTGCAGGTGGTGTCTTGTCGTGCCAGTGGGCTGCTGTGTTTCGAATGAATCTCAATAGATCTGCCGGCTCGTTTGTATACGGATATCTATGTGCAGTCATATAATTCATTACACAAACTTCAATCATTGATAACCAGTTGGTAAAAACTGGCAACTTATTTAGTTCTTGAACAACAATTGACGTCGCATCCCTGGTTTTAATTTCTTTCTCGTTACCAGCACTTACGAGTAAATTGAAATTTTCTTCTGCCGTTCGAAGGTATGGATGTTTCAGACATTGATGGACGTCAGGTCGTTCTGCAGGATCATGTTGAAGCATCCATGTAATAAGATCTCTTGCACACGGATCACTTAAATCCTCCAAATCAATATGTCCTTGTGATATATTACTAGTTCGATGAACTCGTTTACCGTATGGATGTTTTCCTTTGGTCAAAACATAGTAACATAGCATTCCAACAACCTGAATGTCAGATTGTTTCTTATAACGAACTTGAATAACTTCGTGAGATAAATAATCTTCGTCGTCATCTTCATTTGGAAGTGATTCCGCTGCCATCCACCCTTCAGTTCCACTGACACCACTCTGGTACGTAGTTGCATCTTTTGGTAATAATCGACTAATGCCGAAATCAGCGAGCACCATCTCACCTTCCACGTTCACAAGAATATTCGATGGTTTCAAATCCCGATGGTGCATTTCGGGATTGCTGCAATGAAGAGTTCTTACACCATAGAGAATTTGACGAATTATTCTTGGACCCTCCTTTCTTAACTGTTCTAAAGAACGTTCCTTGTTCAGAACATAATCCCGTAAACTTTCTTCATGTAAATCCATAACTAAGTAAGCTTTCGTAGAACCAAATGATTGGTAAAAGCGATACTTGACAATGTGTTTTTTGTTTCGGACCTTTGGAAAATTTAAGATATTTTTCTCATTGCCGCCCATTTGCACACATTTTTCAATGGACTTTATGGCCACTTCATAGCCATCATCCGATAATCCAACGTAAATTTTTGTTCCGTCACTTCCTTGGCCAATGCTAAATTTATCATCAAAACAAACGAGATACACTCCAATTCTCGTTGCCTTTGATGGATTGGTTTCCAAACCTTCCACAAATTCTGACAGTTTTGAACGGTGCTTTTTTGACCTTTCTGCCCATCGAACTTCTAAACAGAAAAAACAAAGCAGAAACCCTAAGGTTAGTTACATAATTTAATTTTCAAACTTTAAACTATTGACCACATTTTCTTTCAAAACCAAACTTTCGTTTTAAAGAACATGGCCCCAAAACAAGCCTATTCTAGGATCTTAACTCGCCTTACATTCCCTAGAATCGCATTAAATCGCGGTTAAAATTGACCGAAGTTCCCTTAAATCGCCTAAAATCGCCCAAACTCGCATTGACTCGCATTAATCCATGATTACTTCTTTTGGCATCTTATAGGATAAGCAGCAGTTGGTTATGTAACAGTCAGCAATTAGAAATGTTAGCTTATAATTAGATACCATTTTTTAACTAGTTACGGTTAGATGCTTAAAAGTTAAAAAGAAACTAATTACTGGAAAAAGTTACACATAAAAATTTTGCAGTCATAAACATTGCTGGGACAACCTTGTGTGCTTCTCGTATTTACCTCGTAGGAGTTGCGGTTTTCTTTTCAACAACGGCAACGTGGGGCACTCTCTTTGACGGTACGGCAGGACATCAAGGATGGCCTGTGTAAGACGAGCGAAGTCCCACTTGGCCGGGTAAAGGTTGCTGATCAGGAACACCGCATCATGTCCGGTTTCTGTGCCTTTCAATTTTTCCAAACAATCTTCCCTGATTGTTTGAAGCATTGTTTGTTCGTCGAACGATTTCTTTCGCTTTTGGCTCAAGTAGTCCGCATCGATATGCGTGCGTATAAAAAAGAACGACTTGTTGAGTGATTCCACTTTTTCGACCAGCAAACGGTCGTTTTCGGTAAAACGCTTCATGGTCAGAATAAGAAAGGCGTCGTACTTCTCCAGTTCCACCTTTTCACAGTAGGTTTCAAGGTCTGGGTACTTCGGTGTACCTAAAGGAAAATGGACTAAAGTTTAGTATATGCAAATTAAAGTGTCGCTTTATTAGTAGACGAATCGCGAAATTCGATTGCGCATCCAAATGACGCGTTCTGAGTCGGGCAAAGCCCAGTCTCGTACCCAGGCTCTTTTCTACCTCCCCATGAATCCCCGCGCGCCTAGCTCACGCAGAGCTCTGAACGCTATTAATTACTACAGAGCCTGGATACGAGGCTGAGCAAAGCCGTATTCAAAAGAAAACACGTACCTGTGACTGCATGATTTAAAATATGCGTATTAAAGTATACAAATGTTCAGTCATGCATTCGTTGTGTATTGTACTAATATGTAATCATGAATGCGTGAGTGGACATTTGAATACTTTATTACACATATTTTAAATCATCCAGTGACAGCTACATGTTTTTCTTTAAAGTGCCTATACCAGGGTTTTGGAGTTTGTATATCTCGAAGGTTTAGGGCATTTTAAGAC